TGTTGTTTCATAGTCGTAGCCAGCTGAGCAGCCCCAGGTTCGTACCTGAGAGGGGGAGCATGGACTAAAGGAAGACTAGCTAAAGGAATTAAACAAGGATGGCGAATCAGCCAACACTGAAATGCAACGAGTTTATTTTTCACCACTCATATACCAAAAAGGGGACCGTGGTGTTATGCCCAGATTGCAGAACCCCCAAAAATCCACCACCAAGGAAGTGACACACAGAATGTAAAAACAAAGGTTTCTTTATTACGAGTTGCAACTCTGACCCTGCCCTTTTGGGAACAAGCAGAGTGCCACTTTTTGGCTGGGGGGGGGAGGGAGTTCAAAAGACTGGATGTCTTGAGATTACAAAGTTTTATGGTTACATAGGAATGAAACAATAACTGTATGTTTAGGCAGGATGCAGTTAAGCAGGAAGCTGAAGAGGAAATAAGTTTGTTAATTGCCTCCTAGGCAGGGGCTTTTACAACTGTGAGTTGACAACTATCTGATCTTTAGAAATGTTGACAGAGCTGGGATGTGTTATCTGTTCCCAGGCCTCTATACCCAGTTCTTTGTTTAGCCTGTCAGGCTGCCTTTTTGGGAACTCAGAGAGGCTTAAGAGTTTTTCTATTTGGGCTTTGGAGTCCAAGTTTTAGACTTTTATTCATTTTTCCCATTTTATCCTTTTCAATGGTATCATGTATACAGAACAAACAGACTTTTCTTCCTCTTTTCTCCAAGGGTTCAGCAACCACACCTTAGATTCAACTTCAGGCTACCTGACTTTGAGGGTCAGGAGTAACCACACCTCAGGCCAGGTCTGCGGTTATTCAGAATGAGACAGCCAAGGCCAAGATCTAACATCCTACCATAGCCACGCCTTGGACCTTTAGGTCTTACGACTTGCTGAGGACAGTTTTGAACTCTGCCCTAGAGCCAAGATGGAGTGTAGCCGTGTTTTTGGGCTCCGACAAATTCCCCTTTCTTAATATAACTAAATAGTACCTGCGCTTCTGCTACAGGACAGATGACTGTATCTGTCTTAGGTGGTCTTATCCCACCTTCCAGCCTTACCCGTCGTGGGAACACACATTCCGTCATGCGTCACCTGTCTTGGGTCTCCTGGAGGCCAAAAGATCTTACCCGCCTTTGACCACCAGCCTCTGTAATAAAAGGTTAGGGGACAGTGCATAGCTTGATGCCAAGCACCTCTGAGCCAACTTTCCATGGGAGTTCACAAGCAAGCTTGACCATGCTAAGCAATGCATATGCTTTTGTGGCTACAACATCTCCTATTCAAGGAATGAAGGATGATCGAAATGAAATGGCCTTAAAATTGGTCTGGGATGTCTGGAGTAGCTTTCGCTGTATCAAAATCTAAATCTGCCTTCTTAATTACAGTGTATCTAACGACTCAGAAGCATCATGTCAGGTTCCTAACAGAAATGAGCTCTGACTTTTTTGCAAACATTAATAATTCCAGTATGATTATTAACAATAGACACATAATTGGCTGGATCACAATTCTAATAATTTTTAAATCAATCAAAGGACAATAGAATGTTCTCATAGTGGGTGAAGTATGAAGAACCCCACAATTCTGAACCTTTTCTTTTTGCCTCTCTTAAAGTCCAATGCACTGCTGCTTGTGATTTCCAAAGATAAGTTTGAGATAGTACAGTCCTTGAGTCCTGAAAACTAACTGCAAATCTTTCGTCCATCCCCTCTTCATGTATTGAGGACTTTTGCACACATCATTTCTACAGTAGTGTCCACCTGTCCTTATGAGTCCTTTTCCCCAAGGGGAAGACTGGCAAAGATGAGTTCTGCGTCCCAAGACGCAGTGGGGATAAACTGATGGACACTCAGTCCTTGGCCGGATCCAGGGAGAAAAGTCACAGGTCTGGGAAGCTGAAGCAGCAGGCTTGTTGAGGAACTGGAAATCTTCGGTGACAGTCTTTCCTTCTCGGGCTGAAGAAGGATGACATCAGAGGGTCAGGACACAGCTTCAGCAGATCTCACTGGAATTCCTTTGGGGGGTCCCGCAGTCACAGGAATGGCCTTCCTCTGCTCCACACACCTCACCAGGCGCTCTGGCAGCCATCGAGCTCTGTTTTCTTCTTCCTTCGAGAATCATGCCCTGGACCCCATATTAAAACAGGGTCGGGTCCTTTCTGTAGTCCAGTGCAGGGATCTTTCCATTTGGCTTGAGCGAAAGTCACTCGAGTTCCATCTTGCCAGAATCTGTCCATGGCAGATTGCTCACGGGCATCCACATTCAGAAAATTTAAAACGGAGAGGGCATGGCTTAGTGCATTATGTGGAGACTGGGGCACAACTTTCCTTATTTCCTGAATTCATGTTTTCAAAGCTCATGGGCACGTCAATGCCATGCTCCATCTGAGTCAGCGTCTGTCTAGCAGCTTCCATGAGCTGTCTAGAGGGTCACAACTGCCCTTAAGAGTCTCACTGAGGGGGTCAGGATCTCCTGTAGACAATTTTAAATAGGTCATAATTCCCACTAGTTTTTGAGAGTATTTAACGTTTGTAAGTCATCTTTTCTAGTCCAAGATGTAAAGCTTTCATTAGCTGACATGGCCTCCTATGCATTCTCACAGACACCTTTCTAGGCGGGGCCTACAGAACCACAGTTCCCTGAGGCCTCTTCTCAATAACTTCTCTCAAATCTTGTATTAACCTCCAGTCTCTAGATTTCTAACCACAAAAATAGAATTTCTGTATCCTTTCCTCTGCTAAAGGCTATCGAACTGTCCATACAGGATCCTTGGGCTCTCAGGTCATGCTGGCCTTAGCCATTTCCAGCCGGTCGGCTCTGGGGACCGACTGTGGGAGGCACAGTTCAACAACCTTTCCTGTTAGACACTGTGACCTGGTGCCCTTTCTGACTGTCTACAAAGCAATTCAAGTAGTTCCTTTGTTAGGATCCATGCATTCGCATGCACACTGCACACACACGTGTGTCCACACCATACAGAACATACATACATCTTGTAGTCCTCCTTTGCCCTAGGTCATGATTAGTTTGTTGGAATAAAACATCCTCAACTGAAAACTCTTGAAATACAGCAGTTATAGTTAACCATTGAATTAAGAGCTTTCAAAATCTGAACAAATTTGAATAAATTCTTCTATATTGCCTCTCGGTAATGTCTTAAAACAGTTTCTGGCAGGTGCAGTAATTAGCATTTTCCGTACACTTGGCTGGGTGGTGGCTGTGGTGGCAGTTCCCAAGGCTGCGGGCTTCCTGGCTTGGCCTTGCCTCATCTCGCCTTTGCCCTCTGGGCCCGGCTGGCCTGCCGCAGGTCATCTGTGGCTGCAGCTGCTTGAAAAGTCAAAGGCCACCTTTGTAGCAACTCTGAGTTCTTGGCACCCTCAGGTCCTGCTGACCTAGCGCGTATGAGACAGCTGTGGCGGTGACTTCTGCGAGGGGGAAGGATACTTACAAAACTTACAAATTCTAAAAGTTTCTGTGCTTGCTTCTGCTTTACTCCAGTTCTCCTGGCTATTAAAATATACCCAATCATCTGGCTAACATTTCTCTGTTTCACATCTACAGTCACATGCATTTTTACTTCCGATGCTCACTCACTGCATTTTACTTCTTTCATCGAGAGCTCTCTGCACACTTGTACACCAGCGGCGCCTACTCCTCTGCGTGTCCATCACTTCTGTCCCCGTGCTCAGTTCCATGTTGTGGCGCCGTTTATGGGAAGCTGTGTTTGCGGGGCTGCAGCCAGAGCCTGCGGAGTAGCCTGAGGTTTGTACCTGAGAGGGGGAGCATGGACTAGAGAAAGGCGAGCTAAAGACGGCACAGGAAAAGTCAAAGACACAGGAGTAAAATCAGGAGGGCAAATCAGTCAATACGGAAATGCCCTGAGTTTACTTTTCACCACTTTTATATGCCTTAACCAAAAAAGGAGAACATGGTATCATGTATACGGAACAAACAGACTTTTCTTCCTCTTTCCTCCAAGGGTTCAGCAACCACACCTTATATTCAACTTCACGCTACCTGGCCTAGAGGATCAGGAGTAACCACACCTCAGACCAGGTCTGCGGTTATTTAGAATGAGACAGCCAAGGCCAAGATCGAACATCCTACCATAGCCACGCCTTGGACCTTTAGGTCTTAGGCCTTACCGAGGACAGTTTTGAACTCTTTGCCCTTGAGCCAAGATGGAGTACAGCCGTCTTATGGGCACCAACACGCTATAGAGCACAGGTTGGCGTCAACGTGGAAGAGAGTGTGCCCCCTGCCTTCAGACCCCAACCTCCGAGATCACACTGTGATGACACCAGGTCACACTGCGTCCTCACAACACACACCAGCACATACTGCACTTCCGATAAATGTAGTCATCAGAGCATCTCTCTCTCTCTCTCTCTCTCTCTCTCTCTCTCTCTCTCTCTCTCTCTCTCTCTCTCTCTCTCTCCTGAAACATGGTTCCTCTGTAACAGTCCTACCTGGCTGTTCTGGAACTCCCTCTGTAGACCAGGCTGTCCTCGAACTCACAGAGACCTGCCTGCCTCTGCAGACCGAGTGCCTGGATTAAAGGTGTATGAAGACTGAGTTCAACTGTGTATGTGGGGAAACTGAGTCCTGGAGAACCTTAGCTTTGGTTCATTGCGCAGTAGCCAACGTGCAGAGCCAGGCGCTGCTCTTTGCCCAGGACCTTCGAGCAGGAAAGCTACATGAGCATGGAAAGAAAACGATGTGTCAGGTACTCGGGGCCAGAGAGTTTTCCAGAGCTCTTCCTGCTGTTTTCTCAAAGAGCAGCTGGGTCCCTGGTCTCATTCAACCTCAGTCCCCAAATCCGGGCGTGGGAGGAGGGGACCAGTCCCAGACCAGAAAGTTAGAGGAAGCAGCGGCCTCTGCCAGGAAGGGTGGAGCAATGCTGACCTGTCCCCAGCCCCCCCTCCCCCGCATTGATTTGGGGTGGGGACTATATAAAGTCACCTGCCTGGGGCCACTGGCTCAGATGCAGAGGAAACAAAAACAGAAGAACGGTGATGACCTCTTGGCAGCCAGGGAGGTAGGTCTCCCCTGGCCTGTGCTGGGTAACCCTGGAGCTAGCCCAGGCAGAGCCATGGGGGCATTGGTCTGAGCCACCGGGGTTGCCAGGGACAGATACGGGCCTGTAAGCTGTTACTGTAAGCTGTACCCAGCGATGACCACACAACCCAAACCCGAGCTGGACAGAGAAAGTAGGAGTCCAGTGTGGAAGCTTCTGCCCTCCTGACAACAGTCAGAGAAGGGTTAATGAAAGCCAGGCATTGTGGCTGGGGCTTTGTAGTATAAACAGGAGTCCACTGACTCTCCCTTCCAAACACATAATGAGGGAGATAGGAATAGACCCAGGATACAAACGAGATTAGAAGTAACGAGCTAATTGGGCTAGTTAATTAATAACTGATTACCTGTTAGGGCTGGCAGGGGGAGTATATAGGGTTCCGATTCAGGAACTTAAGTTTCATAGAGGTGAGGTTTGCTGTGGGACAGGACCTGCTTCTGGAAGCCCAGGGGAGGCACTAGGTGAGGATGAAAATAATGTTACTGATTTGCAAGATGAATAGGAGTTGGCTGGCTCTGCCAATCACCTACCCAGCTAAGAGGACAAAAATAGACTCAGGAAACCATGAGGTTCATATCTTCCCAGTCCAGGTTGGTGGCCACGGGGAGGAGGGGATATATTTTCACCATGGTTCCCTGACGGCAGCCCCCAGGACCTCAACCCCTGCCTCTCCAGAATCCTGTTCCTCCTGGCCCTGTTGCTGACTTCAGCTCATGGCATTTCGTCCAACCTGGAGGAATGCCTGGTACTGCAGTCGCCTGAGGGCAGCACCGTCTCCTGCCACCGTGTCACCAAGTTCCCGAGTCCCCTCCCGGCTGACACTGTCCATCTGTCCGTGGAGTTCTCCAACTTGACGGAGCTGCCCGCCAGAGCCCTGGAAAGGTGTCAGCGCCTGAGGGAGCTGCACCTCTCCAGCAACCGTCTGCAGGAGCTGTCCTCGGGGCTGCTGACGCCCGTAAGCGGGCTGCGCGTCCTGGACCTGACCCACAACGAGCTCCGCGGCCTGCCCCTGGGACTCTTCCGCGCCTCGGCCGCCCTGCACACCTTGGTCCTGCGGGCCAATCAGCTGCAGAACGTGAGTGCGTTGTGGCTGTGGGGCCTGCGTTCCCTGGAACACCTTGACCTGGCGGAGAACGAGCTGCGCGTGCTGCCCGACGGGTTAGTCCTTAGCCTGATCTCCCTGAGCACGCTGGACCTCGGGTACAACCTGCTGGAGACGCTGCCCACCAGCCTCCTAATGGGTCCCAGGCGGCTGCAGCGCCTGCACTTGGAAGGGAACCGCCTGCGGAGGCTGGGGTTTGGTATGCTTGCACTGCAGCCGTTTCTGCGCGTCTTGTTCCTGAACGACAACCGGCTGACTGAGGTGGTGCCCAGCGCCTTCCAGAGCCTCCGGGAGCTGGACATGTTGGATCTGTCCAACAACTCTCTATCCAGCACACCCCCCGGCCTGTGGGCGTCGCTGGGGAGGCCGGCCCGAGACATGCAGGACGGCTTCGATTTGTCGCACAACCCCTGGGTCTGCAACGAGGATTTGCAGGACCTGTACCGCTGGCTGCGCGCCAACAAACATAAAATGTTCTCGAAGAACGACACGCGCTGTGAGGGGCCCGAGGCCCTGAGGGGACGGCGGCTGCTGGATGTGGCAGAGCTGGAGTCCCTGTAGGATGGCAACGGGGTGTGGGGCTCACCATTCCCTCGGCCAGGATTGCGGTTCCCTGACCCCTCCAAGCTCCTCGCTTCCCACACTCTCCCTCGGTCAAACCCCAGGCCACCCTGACAGGGGTCATCAAAGCAGTTACTAAAACAGCCCCTGGGCTGGAGAGATGGTTCAGAGGTTAAGAGCACTGGCTGCTCTTCCAGAGGTCCTGAGTTCAATTCGCAACAATCACATGGTAGCTCACAGCCATCTGTAATGGGATCTGGTGCCCTCTTCTGGCCTGCAGACACACATGCAGACAGAATATTGTATACATAATAAGTAAATAAATCTTTAAAGAAAAAAAAACATGACTCCTAGGCTGACTGAGCACCCCAGCATTTGTGCGGTTCCCTGTTGTTTTAATTTATTAGGTGCACATGTGTACCAGCGAGCCCGTGGCGGTCGGAGGGCAACCTGCAGGAGATGGCTCCCTCCAGCCTCAGGTCTTCAGGCTTTCATGGCGAGAACGTTACTGACTGAGCCTGCTTTCCAGACCCCTCACTGTGTAGCCCAGGCTTCCTGGAACTTGCTCTGTAGACCAGGCTGGCCTTGATCCGACTGCCTCTGCTTTCCAAGTGCTGGGATTAAAGGCGGGTGCCACCAACACCAGTTATATTTTCTTTAGATAAGGTCTCATGTAGACTAGGCTGGCCTTAAACTTGCTATGTTGCCTAAGATGATTTGAACTCATGATTCTCCTGCTTCTGCCTCCTGGCATGCAGGGGGGGGTGGTAGGTGGGGAGGTGACAGGCATGTAACACTGCAAGACTGGGTTTCTCAGCCCAGTCCTGCAGAGGGAGCTGAGGAGAATGGGTTAAGCCTGGGGTCTTGGTTTGCTGATCTGTAAAATGGGGTCTGAGTTGACAAGATCTACTGCTTTCAGGATTAAACAGCAGAGCGTCCCGGGGTTCGAGTCACAGCACCCACATAATGGCCCAGTCACCTGTCACTCCAGTCACAGGAGGCTGACACCCACTCTGACCTCCTCAGGCATCCGTGGTGCACAGACAGACAGACTGACATACAGACCAAACACCATACACATAAATATAATAATAATAATAATGATAATAATGATGATGATAATAATAATAGAAGCAGGCCGGGTGGGCCTCAGGGGACAGAGTTCCGTAGCACTACAGCCCTGAATCCCTGCCCAGCACTGCCTAACCAGGGTGGTGGGCACATCTGTCGCCTTAGCCACTGGGTGGTGAGTTCAAGGTCATCCTTGGCTATGTAATTAGTTCCAGGCTACCCTGGGCTACAGAGTGAGAGTCTGACTCAGAACAAAACAAGAAAGTCCTTGGCTAGCCGGGCGGTGGTGGCGCACGCCTTTAATCCCAGCACTCGGGAGGCAGAGGTAGGCGGTCTCTGTGAGTTCGAGACCAGCCTGGTCTACCGAGCGAGTTCCAGGACATGAAAACAATACAGAGAAACCCTGTCTCGAAAAACCAAAAAAAAAAAAAAAAAAAAAAAAAAAAAAAAGAAAGTCCTTGGCTCTAGTCTGCCCTGGTGGCCAGACAGGGACACCAGCGTCCCTAGGTCGATATGGCAACGGGGGCGGAGGGAGGAGAGCCCCGGACACACCCCGGCGCCTCATTGGCCCGGGCGCGGAGGTCCCGCCCAGATTTGTTATAAGGGTGGAGGGCTGGCTCGGGTAGCGGCGCCAGGGACACCCGCGGGGTCTGCTCTATACCCAGGTAAGGGCGCATGAGGCCCTAACCCGGAACACCCGGACCTTCCCGGTGGGGCCGGAGGGAGCGGGCTGGGCACGCATGCGCGGAGCCACAGGCGCAGCAGGTGGTGGGACCCTTAGCCCAGTGGGCCCAGGCCCAGGACCCAGTTGGGCGGGGCCCAGGCGCAGAGGACAGTGGGAGGGCCACGGTGGGGACGCACAGGGCAGGTGTGAGTCCTGAAGTCAGCGTCCCTGTCCCCCTGGACAGCTGAGGGTGACCTCGGAGCTCCACGTGCAACCTGTGTGTCAATTTCCCTGCCTGTCAAAGGGACTGGATTGGGCTGCTGCTCCCTCCACCCCGGCAAGTGGGCCTGCTGTGCGGGTTTGTCCAGACGGAAATGGACCAGAGGGGTGAAGATGCCAGTCCGGCGCCACACCGCAGGTAATGATGGAATCTGAGCTCATCCTCATCTCCTCGCCTCCCCACAAAGCCACTGGTTTTTAGCATATACCTACTGTGTGCAAGACCCTGTGCATGACTTGTCTATGCCTCCCAGGACACCCCACAGGGCTAGCTCTCAGGGGTCCCCTTTCTCCGTGTCCTGACCCTCAGGATGTCCAATGAGACAGCTCAAGGCCCTGGATTCAGCCTGGGGGAGCCAGAGCAGCAGGTGAGGGGCTGGGAGAGTGACCACAGTGGGGGGCGTCTCTGAGGGGGGTTCGTGGCCAGTCCCCACACACCCCTTGGGGGAGGCTCTGGACACCAAGGTCCAGCTCCCTTTTCGTAGCTCCATGTGACCGGTGTCACCAAACGCAGGGTACATGCTACCCACAGTCACAGCTGTGGGGACATTGAGGCCCCAGCAGCCAGGTCTCTGCCCTGGGGGGTCATCGCCCAGCTGGTCCCGAGTGCAGCAGCCTCACCAGGAGCATCGGGAGGCGGCCTGCAGGCTGCTGCTATCTGTCCCGGTGGGGCTGAGCCCTGATGTCACTGGTTCCTGCAGGACGTGGTGAAGCGTGTGGTGGCCTTGCCCCTCATCAGGGCCACGTGCACGGCCGTGTCCAGTGCTTACAACTCGGCCAAGGACAAGCACCCGCTGCTGGGTTCGGCCTGTCGCCTGGCCGAGCACTGTGTGTGCAGCGTGACCACCTGCGCCCTGGCCTGCGCTCAGCCGCTGCTGGAGCACCTGCAGCCCCAGTGTGAGTCCCCGAGTCCCTGCCGTGCTCTCTCTTTACCGTCCTCAGGACCAAGTGTCCCCTCCTGGGCTCTCTGTGTACGCCCCACCCCCTTTTCCTTTTTTCTGACTGAGGGTTTTGCTCTGTCGCCCAAATTGGCCCAGAGTGCTCCGCAGTCCTCCTGCTCAGCCTCACGGGTGCTGGGTGAGGGACATGCACACCACACCCGCCCGCCGGTTTCTGCAGCACTGGAAGCAAATCCATGTGCAGTGAGCCCAGACCCCTGCTTGGACCCCTCTTGGTTCCTAAGTGTCCCCTCTGTTCTTTCCCACCTTCTGGCACCTTCTTTGTCTCTGATGGCTGGGTCGCTGGTTCAGAGTTCCCACCTGGCCAGGGGACTAAAGCCCCATGACTGGAGAGGGTCCCCAACTCCTCTGAGGGACCCAGCAGGGGACGGGGAGAAAGACTCAGGTTCTGTCGCCTGCCTGCCACACCCCCTGGCCAGGGGGCGCACTCCTGGATGTGTGGCCTCCATCCTTGCCAGGCACTCCCTTCTGCCATAGCCCCTCAGTCCTCCATGGCTCCCTGTCTCTCTTCAGTGGCCACAGTGAACAACCTTGCCTGCAAGGGACTTGACAAACTAGGGGAGAGGCTACCGTTCCTGCAGCAGCCGTCGGACATGGTACTAGAGATGACCAGGCCTCGGTGCCCCCGCTCCTCCAGGGGGAAGAGTGGGAAGGGAGAGATCTTGGGGGGAGCAGATGTGTAAGACGGCGGCGGTCGGTCGGTTGGGGAGGGCTTCAGGGCCGCCTATTTAATGAAGGGAAACTGAGGCACAGAACTAGGAAGAGGCCCGGAGGTCTTGGGGATCTCTGCTTGCAGGACTAGGGTGGGAGTAAAAGGGGCCACAGCACCCAGAGTGACACCCTTCCCACAGGTGGTGAACTCAGCCAAGGATGCAGTGACCAACAGTGTCACAGGCATGGTGGATCTGGCGCAGCGGGGCCGGCGCTGGAGTGGGGAGCTGAAGCGCTCCATAAGCCAGGCCGTGGACATGGTGCTGGGCAAGTCTGAGGAGCTGGTGGACCACTTCCTGCCCATGACTGAGGATGAGCTAGGTACTGATCAGAGAGGTCTGGGACTTGCCTGAGGTTGCACAGCACAGGGAAACCTGGGACTCAAACACAGGTTGGATCTCTCCCTCTGCTTTGTGCCCAGAAAGTCGGACACCCAGGTCCCAAAGATGCACTGGGCTTTTGCATGTGATGGCCCTGGAAATTACTTATCTGGCTTGCCAATGTGTGGGTTCATTTCATGTCATTTTGTTGCCGTTGTTTTGAGACAGGGTCTCGCTCTATAGTCGAGGCTTGCTCTGAACTCATGGCCATCCAAGGGCTGGAATGACAGGTGTGCACCACTGGACCTGGCCATAATGGTAGTCAGGCCTGGGTTCCAGGCTTGGGTCTGCCTCCAGCATTCTGGGATGCTTCTGTTTAAAAGTGTGTGTGTGTATGCACATGTGTGCGCGCACGAGTGTGTGCGTGCATGCATGCGTCACAGTAGTCACTGAAGGTCAGAGAACACCTCCAGGAGTCAGTTCTCTCCTTCCAATATCACTGAGCTGCCCCACGGGCCTACCTCAGTTCCCTCAAATGTACAGCGTAAGCCCCAGGGCTGGGACTACAAAGCCTGGGTCCCCTCCCCAGTATCCCATGAACCACTGTGGTGGCATTCGTCTGTCACCCCAGCACTCGAGGTCAGCCTCAGCTATGTGGTGAACTGGAAGCTAGCCTGGGCTACACATCTCAAAACAAGGAACAAAAGTACACTCCGTAGAGTTTGGGGATGGTTACAGGGGCAATGACGATACAGGGTTGCTGTACAGCTGGGGACCTGGGCGCTCCGGACGGTGAGTGAGCAGAGGCATAAGCCCACCCCGACCCCTGGTGTCCCTGTCCCCAGCCGCCCTGGCGGCAGAGGCCGAGGGCCCAGAAGTTGGCTCTGTGGAGGAGCAGAGGCGGCAACAGGGCTACTTTGTGCGTCTGGGATCCCTGTCGGCGCGCCTCCGCCATCTGGCCTATGAACACTCTTTGGGGAAATTAAGGCAGAGCAAACACCGCACCCAGGACACCCTGACCCAGCTGCAGGAGACCCTGGAGCTGGTGAGTTGCTGGATCGGCAGGTGGCATGGCTCTCGCTGGGTGGGGGTCCCACTGGGGGCTACGGGAGGGGCTCCCAGGACTCAGGGAGAGACCCCCTCAGGACACGTCACCCTAGGTGGCAGACCACACCTCAGCCTTCATCCCAAACTGTCTCCATCTGCATTTTCTGCCCCCACTCCCTTCTGTACCCCCAATAGCTAACAGTGGCCTCTGGCTTCAAAGCCATCCTCCTCCTCCTCTCTCTTCTTCCTCCTCCTGTTCCTGTTCTCTCTCTCTCTCTCTCTCTCTCTCTCTCTCTCTCTCTCTCTCTCTCTCTCTCTCTCTCTCTCTCTCTCTCTACACACACACACACACACACACACACACACACACACACACACACACACACACACGGTTCAGCCCTCACCTCGCCCAGATAGTCCTCCCCACAGGTTCTACCTCTGCCCTCCCACCCTGCCTCCCACAGGTTCTACCCTGCCCCAGGGCCTTTGCCTGGCCTCCTGGGCGTGAGATCCAAGAGCATGCTTTTGTATCCAACGTGGGAGCAGGGTTAGAGTCTCCGTCCTTTTCCGGGCTGAGCCGTATTCCAGAGCACACACTGTTTCCCCTGCCTTTGCAGTGTGTCCTGTGCCCGTGTACTCCTTAATTTCCTGTGGTCCAGGTTCTCCTCACTCCCAGTGCTGGGGTGGAGTGGGGACTTCACACATTCTGGGAAGATGCTCAGCACTGAGCCACGTCCCAATTCTCCCCACATGGGGCTATGGAGCATCTACTGGGCAGTCCATGCCCTGCCTACAGCTCATGGGACAATTTGTACAGTCATGTTGCTAAATGCTTATTGAGAAAGTCCACTGTGTGTCCAGCCACAGCTACGTGCCTTCCCAGCCCTGTGGGGCCACAGGATCTTGCATTATCTGTTGCTTCGTTTTCAAACGCTGGCTTTGTGATGTTGCTGGGCGTGGTGGCTCAGGTCTTGTCATCCCGGCACTCAGGAAGCCATGAAGCTGTCCCCACCACCCATCTCCCCACAGTGAGGCTCTGCCCCGGGCCAATACTAACTCCATTTCCCAGAGCCCCTTCCCACTCTCCCACTTCCTGTCTCTGTGGGTATGAGGCTGGGGCATCCTGGGAGTTATCTGTGCTGTGTGCCCTGCCTTGTCACCCACCGAGCCTCATCTCAAGGGCCACCCACAGTGGGACACAGCCATCAGTTTCTCCCCCTGTCCTGGCTGAATGCTGACACACTACAATATACATCCACTCACCGTCTTCAGGCAGGAGAGGGAGGGAGGCTCTATGCTGGGCAGGGATCCCTGTGGACAGGGCGGTGACAGCAAGCAACAAAAGGGGCAGACGGGAGAAGGGACCGGCTGGCCAACAGAATGCAAGGTTGGCTGCATTCAGGCGGTGCTCATTAAGGGCTGCTGGAGACTGGCTGCAGGCTAGGGTGGGCCCCCTCACCCCAGGCCTCCACCCTGACTCCGGGTGTCCCTGTCCCGCAGATCCACCGTATGCAGACTGGGACAAGTCCCACCCCCACTCCCTATCCCCCAAAGGTGCAGGAGCTGTGGGGAGACTGGAGTCCATGGCCGGAAAATGGGCGCAGACACAGCCAGGTGAGGGGCCATGGGGAAGGCAGGATCCACCCTGGGCGTGAGACAGGGACTCTGGCTCTAGTGCTCTCAGTCACCAAGTTAGATGTCCATGAAGGAAACTGAGGCAGAGCATATACTCTTTTGTATGCAATGAGGTAAAGTATGGCAGAGCTGACCCCCCATTGTTGTCCATAATGGAAACTGAGGCAAGCTAAGGTGCTCACATTAGATTTCACGGGGAAACTAAAGCAGGCCAAAGCTTCCATTAAATCAGTGGTTCTCAGCCTTCCTAATGCAGTGACCGTTTAATACATGTGGTGACTCCCCACCAAAAACTTATTTCATTGCTGCTTCATAGCTGTAATTTTGCTACTGCAATGAATTGTGATGTAAGTATCTGATACCGGACCCCTGTGAAAGGGCTCACAGGTTGAGAACCCTGCATTAGATGCATGGGGAAACTGAGGCTGGGCTCTTGTAGGTGGAGCTGGAGACGCTGGCCCTGTCTCGTAGCCTGACTCTGGAGCTTCAGAGCGCAGTGGACGCGCTGGCGGGCTGCGTGCGGGGCCTGCCACCTGGTGCCCGGGCCAAGGTGGCGGAGGTTCAGCGAAGCGTTGATGCCCTGCAGGCCGCCTTCGCCGACGCCCGATGCTTGCGGGATGTGGCGCCTGCCGCTCTGGCCGAGGGCCGGGGCCGCGTGGCCCGGGCGCACGCCTGCGTGGACGAGCTGCTGGACTCAGTCCTGCGGGCCATGCCCCTGCCCTGGCTCGTGGGGCCCTTTGCGCCCATCCTGGTGGAGCGGCCCGAGCCCCTGGCCGACCTGGCCGCCTGCGTGGACGAGGTGGTGGGTGACCCGGACCCGCGCTGGGCACACATGGACTGGCCGGCCCAGCAGAGGGCCTGGGAGGTAGAGCACGCAGACCCGCCGGCCCCGGCCGAGCCTCAGAGCGACCCGCCCAAGCACAGGCTGATGCCGGAGCTGGACTTCTAACCACCGAGGCCCCTGCTGCCCCCTGGTGGTCACATGGCCGCGCTCACGGCAGGCCGCTCTCTCCCGTGATCCTGACCCCACCTTCAAAATTGGCACACAGCTGTCATGCCAGCGCTTGAGAGGCTGAGGCAGGAGGATTGAGATTTGAGGGCAGCTTGAGCTGCCTTAGCAAGACTGTCAAAAAAAATAAATAAAAAGGTAGCTCTGGGCTCTGAGGAAGACTTGGTGTCCAGTGGCATTTCCCTGGGGGGGTTCAGATGTCAAATATCAAATCAACTATTTTTGGCTTGTGTCCCTCCAAGATGTCCAGTCAGCCACGCTGGGCAAGAGACCCACTTTCTTTGTTGTTCGTGGTCCAGAACAAATGTTTGGTGTGGTCTGAGGTGGGTATTGGAGCTAGGCTGCTGGGAGTTTTCAGGGTGTGACTTTAGGGGCATGGGGATGGAGTTTCCAGCCAGTGTTCAGGGCCAACACATTTCCTACTGAGCCACGTAGAGGAGCTTGGGCTAAGTGTTGCCGCCCTCAGTACACCTAAGCTGAAGCCACTCGCACTATACCGTGTGAGTTCTCAGAACCTCTCTCTCGGTAGCAGGCGGCACTGGGATAGGACTGCAGGACGCAGAAACAGGTCAAAGGCCGGGAGGGGTCCCCCAGGGCCTCCCTGGCTTCTCTCCGCACCCTTGACCACCCCTCTGGCTCCTCGTGTGGGCAGTGTATTGGGAAACCACGGTCCAGCATAGTGAGGTCAGGGTAGCCCCTGGCTTCCCTGGAAGCCAGTCCCGATGGCATTTCTGGGCTTCACTTCCAGAAACCTCAAGCTAGCTCCCTAGTGATCTCAGAACAGCGTCCTCATGTCTGTCCACCTGCCAGTGCCCTCTTGTCCAGAAGGCACAGCCCTCCCCATGCCCAATGATGGCTCTTCCAGGGAGCCTCGTGGGTTGTGGGGGGCGGGCACTAGCTGGCAGCCATCTGCAATGCTCCCGCCCCATGTGCCCCCCATGCCCTCTGGAGCAATGGGTGGGGGCACCCACTTCTGTTCTAGAGCTGTCAGCCAACACAACCAAGGCTCCAAGGAAAAAGCCCAGGGGTGCCAGGCCCCCACCCGCCCCTACCCGGAAGCCCTTCCTCTCGCTCAGAGCCAGAGTTAATTGCCTCATTGCTGAGGTTGGGACTCTGGGGTTCCTGGGGTAAAAGTCTGGGACAGGGTCCAGGGTGAGAGTGGCGATCACTCTGCCCAGTCCTCAGGCCCAGGACACTCCTTCCACACACACTGGTGAGGCTGGGCCCACCATGGCTGCACCTCACCCTCGGGGCACCTCTCACTCTACAATTCAGCCAGGTCCCTTGAGTAAAGGGACGTGTGACTGTCCTCCTTGGGACAGTCTTCTCTTGGAGACCCTGTCTCTGTCCCGGTAATGCTGACTACTGATCACGTATGACCTCATTTTAAAGTCACACGCACCTTTAGTTGTCCCCATTTAGACAGATGTTTCCTAAGTGTCTGATGTGTGTCAGGCGCTGTCCTGGGCGCAGGATATAAACAGGCTGACCGGTGAGGCTGTGTGGGAAATCTGGAGGAAGGTGCGGTAGACAGGGCCCGTTTTAAGCCAGGGAGCCAGGAGCAGAGCCTGAGGAGGAAGCCGGCTGATGAGTTTGGACGGGAAACAGGGACCTGAAGGTGGCGCCTCATCAGGTGTCCCATCTCAGAAAAGTAGAGGCAGAGAGCAGGCGGTCCCTCGGGGAGCCCAGCTGGCCCTGAGTCACTGGGCCTGGGGCAGGCACTGTGGGTAGAGGAGGCTTGGACCGAGGTGGGGAGCAGGGGAAAGGTGCTGGGCCGAGTCCACACTGGCCCAGGCGGGCAGGCACGTGACCGCCCCGGCCCCCCCCCCCCCAGCTCTCTGGCTGCCTGCCTGGGCCGGCCAAGCCTGCACCCTCCCAGACCCTATAAGGCCTGGGAACCAGGAGCTGAGGCGCTGCCAGCAGCTGCCCTGCTCTGAGGGATCTTGCAAGGTCCAGGTGAGTCCAACTGCGTCACCCAGCGACTGACACCTCAAGGTGGGTGAAGGGGGTGCCTGTGGGGCCCAGGGTGGGGACAGACAGGCCGGCCCCCACCGTGTGGCACCTTTTGCCTCTTTTAGCCCCTCAGGACACCATCATGTCAGCTTCGGGAGATGGGACCAGGAGTCCCTCCAAATCCAAAGGCAAGGTAAGAACGGAGAGAGGGCTGCCCCATATGGACTCCGGGAAGGTGACCCAGAGTCCACTCATGCTGCCCCCACCCACGCAGACCCTGAGCAGTTTCTTCGGGTCCCTGCCTGGCTTCAGCTCTGCCCGGAACCTAGTGTCCCACACTCACAGTTCCACAAAGAACACAGGACCGGCAACAGACCCCACAGGGACTCCTGCTCCCCCACCCCTGGGTGAGTGGCGCGAGGCACATGGTGGGCAACTGAGCAGCCATGCAGACTGCCCAGGAGGGGTGGGGAAACTGAGGCACAGACACTGGGCAGCATAGCCCAGGGAAGCGGATATTTAAACTGCCACAGCCCCTGCGCTCTTTGATCCCAACCGGCCTTCGAGTTGTACTTGTTTGAGTGTGTCAAGCATAAAGACTCAGAGGGGGCCAGTAGCTGCCCTGGGGTCACACAGCATCCCTGGACTCAGCGGCGTGCCTGCAGCAGGCCACCAGCTGCCTTGAAGGCCACACACTTGTGACAGGCTGCTGGGGCCATGGCACAGGCAGGGGGGTACCCCTTGCCCACTGCAGACTCCAGGGGGCCCAAGGGTGCAGGGTAGGTGTCCAGCACCTAGAGTCCAGCACAAAAAGTCCTCCCAGAGCCTGTGTCACAGGGGCCGGAGCCACCCTTGGCAGGGACAGGGAGGGCTCCTGCCTGTGGATGTCACCTCCTGCTGTCCCTGGACTGGCTGCTGGGACATTCCTTTCCTTTGGGGCAAAGCCTGGAATTGTGCTAGAGCAACAGGTTCCAGCCGGAGGCCTGCTGCTCATTCCCCGCCTGCCTTGCTGTCTCTGCAGGGGCCACCAACCTGCATCAGACGCCTGGGGGTGTGGCGGGGCTGTTCCATCCTTCAGAACAGGTGAGTCAGGTTGGGGACCTTGGTCAGGAAGGTCTGGGAGGTTCTAGTTCCTTCCATGGGGTGGAGAGTCAAAGGACAAAGAGAAGGTGGGGCCCCTAGTACATTTTCCATCCTGAACCTCAGTTTCTACATCTGGGAAACGGGCACAAGCTCTCAACAGTCCTAGTCCTACCTAAAAGCTAGCCCTCTCCTGCTCCCAAAGAGACAGGGCCTGTGTACCACAACACCACATGGCAGGTGCAGAGAAACCAAGGTAGAAAACTTCACTCCCACTTCAATAACTCTGACTTAAGCAACCCCTAGGAGAGCAATGGTGTGAATACATCCAGTAGATGCCAATCAAAACACATCCCTGGCAGCCAAGGCCTCATGACAGTCCCTCTGTTGGCAACAATTAAGCACCCACCGAATTCCTTTCATCCATTATCCTGACCTTTAAGGATTTTTAAAAAAATCAGAAACAGGTTCTCACGCAGCCCAGGCTGCCAGTACCTCATTCTGTAGTTGAGGCTGACCTTGAACACCGGACCCTTGTGCTTCAGCCTCCCAAATGCTGGGTTGACACACCATTTGTCCTTTATATCACACAAGTGCAGGGAAGACTCAGCACTGGACAACCTGGACCCCACTGTGGGACTAAGCTGAGCCCGGCCTCCACCCTCCTCTCCCGGGACTGCTAGTGTCTCCAGGCATGCCCGGAGTCCCTCGTGCTGCTCAGGAGGAGCACATCTCCATCATCCCAGCAGGTCCTCCTCAGCTACATAGTGAATTACGGGGCGGCCTCTGACCCGCGGGGTCTTGGCGATGGTGTGAGGCATGCCCAAGTCGGCAGACACTGTATTTGAGTCATCGGTCAGACAGCCCCTGACTTGTGACGGCCCTGCTCAGTGCTGGGTCACATGCCCAGCTGCAAGGTCTCTTTTAGCAGTTCCTCAGACACTACCTTAGAGCGGGATGACACCATGGGGTTTGGCGACTTAGGTGCACTGAGGGTGTGGAGAGCATAGTCACCCTAGAGAAACGTTCCTGAGTTGCTAACCTCTGTCCTTCCTTGCTAGACAACAGCTGGGTGCAAGGACATGGGAAGCTTCAGTGTGACCAGTGGTGAAGATGCCTTCTCCTCTGGGGTGGCTGGCATCATAGACACTGCAAAAGGAATGGTCCAGGGTAGCCTGGGAGCCACGCAGTCGGTCCTTATGGGCACTAACGAGGCAGTGTCTGGAGGCATCATGGGAGCAGTAGGTATGGCCAAAGGGGTTGCCCAGGGAGGCCTGGACACCACCAAGTCAGTGGTCATGGGCACCAAGGACACGGTGACCACAGGACTCACAGGAGCCATGAATGTGGCCAAGGGGACAGTGCAGACAGGCCTGGACACCACCAAGTCTGTGGTCATGGGCACCAAGGACACGGTGACCACAGGACTCACGGGAGCCATGAATGTGGCCAAAGGGGTTGCCCAGGGAGGCCTGGACACCACCAAGTCTGTGGTCATGGGCACCAAGGACACGGTGACCACAGGACTCACGGGAGCTGCAAACCTGGCCAAGGGGACAGTGCAGACAGGCCTGGACACCACCAAGTCAGTGGTCATGGGCACCAAGGACACGGTGACCACAGGACTCACGGGAGCTGCAAACCTGGCCAAGGGGACAGTGCAGACAGGCCTGGACACCACCAAGTCAGTGGTCATGGGCACCAAGGACACGGTGACCACAGGACTCACGGGAGCTGCAAACCTGGCCAAGGGGACAGTGCAGACAGGCCTGGACACCACCAAGTCAGTGGTCATGGGCACCAAGGACACGGTGACCACAGGACTCACGGGAGCTGCAAACCTGGCCAAGGGGACAGTGCAGACAGGCCTGGACACCACCAAGTCAGTGGTCATGGGCACCAAGGACACGGTGACCACAGGACTCACGGGAGCCATGAATGTGGCCAAGGGGACAGTGCAGACAGGCCTGGACACCACCAAGTCAGTGGTCATGGGCACAAAGGACACGGTGGCCACAGGACTCACGGGAGCCATGAATGTCGCCAAGGGGACAGTGCAAACAGGCCTGGATACCACCAAGTCTGTGGTCATGGGCACCAAGGACACAGTGACCACAGGACTCACAGGAGCCATGAATGTGGCCAAAGGGGTTGCCCAGGGAGGCCTGGACACCACCAAGTCTGTGGTCATGGGCACCAAGGACACAGTGACCACAGGACTCACGGGAGCCATGAATGTGGCCAAAGGGGTTGCCCAGGGAGGCCTGGACACCACCAAGTCAGTGGTCATGGGCACCAAGGACACGGTGACCACAGGACTCACGGGAGCTGCAAACCTGGCCAAGGGGACAGTGCAGACAGGCCTGGACACCACCAAGTCTGTGGTCATGGGCACCAAGGACACGGTGACCACAGGACTCACAGGAGCCATGAATGTGGCCAAGGGGACAGTGCAGACAGGCCTGGACACCACCAAGTCAGTGGTCATGGGCACCAAGGACACGGTGACCACAGGACTCACGGGAGCCATGAATGTGGCCAAGGGGACAGTGCAGACAGGCCTGGACACCACCAAGTCAGTGGTCATGGGCACAAAGGACACGGTGGCCACAGGACTCACGGGAGCCATGAATGTCGCCAAGGGGACAGTGCAGACAGGCCTGGACACCACCAAGTCTGTGGTCATGGGCACCAAGGACACGGTGACCACAGGACTCACAGGAGCCATGAATGTGGCCAAAGGGGTTGCCCAGGGAGGCCTGGACACCACCAAGTCTGTGGTCATGGGCACCAAGGACACGGTGACCACAGGACTCACAGGAGCCATGAATGTGGCCAAGGGGACAGTGCAGACAGGCCTGGACACCACCAAGTCTGTGGTCATGGGCACCAAGGACACAGTGACCACAGGACTCACAGGAGCCATGAATGTGGCCAAAGGGGTTGCCCAGGGAGGCCTGGACACCACCAAGTCAGTGGTCATGGGCACAAAGGACACGGTGGCCACAGGACTCACGGGAGCCATGAATGTCGCCAAGGGGACAGTGCAGACAGGCCTGGACACCACCAAGTCTGTGGTCATGGGCACCAAGGACACGGTGACCACAGGACTCACAGGAGCCATGAATGTGGCCAAAGGGGTTGCCCAGGGAGGCCTGGACACCACCAAGTCTGTGGTCATGGGCACCAAGGACACGGTGACCACAGGACTCACGGGAGCCATGAATGTCGCCAAGGGGACAGTGCAAACAGGCCTGGACACCACCAAGTCTGTGGTCATGGGCACCAAGGACACAGTGACCACAGGACTCACAGGAGCCATGAATGTGGCCAAAGGGGTTGCCCAGGGAGGCCTGGACACCACCAAGTCTGTGGTCATGGGCACCAAGGACACAGTGACCACAGGACTCACGGGAGCCATGAATGTGGCCAAAGGGGTTGCCCAGGGAGGCCTGGACACCACCAAGTCTGTGGTCATGGGTACCAAGGACACAGTGACCACAGGACTCACGGGAGCCATGAATGTGGCCAAAGGGGTTGCCCAGGGAGGCCTGGACACCACCAAGTCAGTGGTCATGGGCACCAAGGACACGGTGACCACAGGACTCACGGGAGCTGCAAACCTGGCCAAGGGGACAGTGCAGACAGGCCTGGACACCACCAAGTCTGTGGTCATGGGCACCAAGGACACGGTGACCACGGGACTCACGGGAGCCATGAATGTGGCCAAGGGGACAGTGCAGACAGGCCTGGACACCACCAAGTCAGTGGTCATGGGCACCAAGGACACGGTGACCACAGGACTCACGGGAGCTGCAAACCTGGCCAAGGGGACAGTGCAGACAGGCCTGGACACCACCAAGTCTGTGGTCATGGGCACCAAGGACACGGTGACCACAGGACTCACGGGAGCCATGAATGTGGCCAAGGGGACAGTGCAGACAGGCCTGGACACCACCAAGTCAGTGGTCATGGGCACCAAGGACACGGTGACCACAGGACTCACGGGAGCTGCAAACCTGGCCAAGGGGACAGTGCAGACAGGCCTGGACACCACCAAGTCAGTGGTCATGGGCACCAAGGACACGGTGACCACAGGACTCACGGGAGCCATGAATGTGGCCAAGGGGACAGTGCAGACAGGCCTGGACACCAGCAAGAGTGTGCTGACAGGCACCAAGGACACTGTTTGTGCTGGAGTCACAGGAGCCATGAATGTGGCCAAAGCGGCTGCTCAGGGGGGGCTGGATACTTCTAAAGCAGTCCTCACAGGCACAAAGACTACAATATTGGCTGGCCTCTCAGGCACCATGAATATGGCCAGGGGAACAATGCAGACTGGCCTGGATACCAGCCAGAGTGTGCTCGCAGGTACGAAGGATACTGTCTGTGCTGGGATCACTGGGGCCATGAACATGGCTAAAGATGTCATTCAGAAGGGCCCAGACACCACCAGGGACACGGGGTCTGCCATGCTGTCTCAGGGAGATAAAGTGGCCATCAATACCACCTCCACTGGTTTCCATACAGTCCCAAGTTCACTCTCTGGCTCTCACACCACCATGTGTTATGAGCCTGGCGGTTGCAGTGCCACCAGTCAAGGGGTAGAACATGCTACCCTGACCTTTGCAGAACCCTCATGCTCTGAGATCAGCAGCCTTGCAAACACATGTGGCTTGGGGCTTGTCACGGAACCCATAGCTACCACCAAAGGCCTTGTGTCTGGTGTGGCTTCATTTGCCCACACAGCTACCAGGTCTGAGGAGTGTGCTCAGCTGGCGGCCACAAGCTTTGCTGCCCTTCATGATGAGTTGGAGGGGCTAGGGGACATCTTCCAGCCCATGACAACTGAGGAACAAGGTGAGTGCCCATCTCCCCACGCAGGTCCCCAGCCCTAGGGTGGGTGCCTCAAGGGACCCTCAGACTGAGTCTCACTGCCTTCCTTCCAGCCCGGCTGGCAGCCTCAGAGTCAGGGCCCCGTGTGCTTTCTGCCGACCGGGGAAGCTACTTTGTCCGCCTAGGTGACCTGGTACCCAGCTTCCGCCAGCGGGCTTTTGAACATGCCCTGAGCCACATACAGCACAACCAGTTCCAAGCCAGGGCTGTGCTGGCCCAGCTTCAGGAGGCCTTCCAGGTAGGTGGTAAGAGCATCTCTGGCTCCTACTCTGGGTACCTCCAACTGTTCACCGGCCAAGTGCCTAATGGGCTAATACACCTGCATGCAGAGGGAGCTGGGGATGGTTGTACTAGCCTCACCTAGTGAGCTGGGTATGAGCCTAGCATCTGTGAACCCAAGGGACAGGGTGGTGAAGGCGATGGCACTAGCAGAGGTTTTCACCCAATGTCCTGTCTCCAGGATTCTGTGGGGCATTGTGGACACAGGGGCCTAGGATTCTGGGGGCAGGGTGGCATCCCTCCCTGCACACACCCTCCCTGGTCATGAAGCCCCTGTCTCCTAAGTGGACACCCAGGGAACATGGTAGGGACAGAGCAGGCATGGTGGGGTATAGGGCAGCAGATCTCTGGGGAGTGAGAGTGGGCAGGGGACAGAAAGGAACGTGTGTGGACATGCAGCGGGCCACAGTGGGGTGGGAGACGAGTGGACAGAGGGATTACCACCTGGCCTTCCAGATGCCCTCATGGGGAATTTGGGTTTTGGCTGCACCTTGTATGGGGCAGGTTTAGACTCAAGATCTAGGGACAGCACTGAGTGTTCCCACCTACACTAGAGCCACCACCTGTCCTATGGCTCTCTTTCCAGACAGACACGGTCGTGGAGACTCCAGGTGAGCATCTGTGTTGGGACCCAAACGTGAGCTCCACGGTGGAGGCTGCTGGTACCCATGAGGTGCGTGTGGCATGGGCCTTCCCCAGCGCCCCTCGCACCCCTCCCGCCCTGCTTACCTTCCTCCTCCTCTGCAGGTGCGTGTTCTCGTGGCTCAGGACAGACTGTGCATACTAGCCCGCCAGCTCCATGCAGCTTATAGCAGCCTGGCAGCCTGCCTGCAGGGCCTGCCAGAGGTGCAGCAGCAGGCGGGGCTGGCGCGGCACAGCCTCTGCAAGCTGTATGGCCTCGTGTCCGCAAATGGTGTCGAGCTGCAGGCAGAGCAGCTGGCCCAGAGCAGCGCCAGTGTGGTCCAGGCATGGCAGGGTCTGGAGGTGCTGCTGGACAGGCTGCAGCAGAGCCCCCCACTTGGCTGGTTGGTGGGACCCTTCACTTTGATGCCTGGTGGCCAGCCATAGGCATCTGAGGGCTGCACTTCCCCCAAAGATCTGAATTAAGCAGGAGCAGAGGGTCCCCGGAGAGTGAATTGGAAACCAGACATGGCTGCCACTATTTCCAAGAAATTACAGCCCCTCTTCCAAACTGAACGAAGCCTGTTCAGAGTGGCCACACAGGTCTCGAGGACAGAGCAAAGCAGAAGTGCAGTCAAAGCTAGGAGGTCCTTCAGCTGTCCCCACTGGCACACCTTCCACACTTGGGGCTTTGACCTACTTTCAGAGTGCTACCTGCACTCTGTGCAGCACATCCAGAGCTCTTAGCTAACATGCTAGGCAACTTGTTCCCTGGCACTAGAATGTACTAGAATGCATAGTCACCCTAAGGTAATCTCTCACAGCCTCTTCTAATACTTAGAGAGTGTGTGGATGTGGGGGGGGGCACTTATATCCCAGGATGCTATGGGCCTGACTCATACACCAAAGACAGGGCTGACCTGACAGGCCCAGCACTGCTCTGAGCAACTGCATGTGTGCAGAGCCTGCACACGAACATGGCCTACAAAGGCACATGGCCTTCCTAGGGTTGAAGGCTGTGCTGATTGCAGACACAAGCAGGTAACAGTCCCTCTTCCTCACCCTCTGCGCCCAAGACGAAAGCATAGATGATGGACACAAAGCACTCCCCTGTGGCCAGGCCATCCAAGGCCACAGTCCAGCCCTCCCTGAACCCCAACAATGCTAGCAACCCCCAACCTTCCAGCTTCCTTTTATGTACACTCTTGGGAAATAACAATGTCCTTTAGGTCCAAGGTTGGGCCAGCTGTGGCCTAGAAATGCCATGATGGAGATGGCAAGGAGCCTTCCTGAGCCCTTCCCTCTGCCATGTCAGCAGCAGGCTCCAACAGTAGACTAAGAAGAGCCCAGGCATGCACGGAGGCAGGCACACCGAGAGGCACACCCGACCTGAGCCCACAGGGGACACAGGAGAGTGGGGCCTGCACTGCTCACAGTTACACGTAGAGCAGGCTGGGAGGTGGACTAACACTCCGCTGCAAGTGCTGAGCTGCCCCAGAGACGCTGTGCTGGCCCACCTGGGGTACCGGCATAGCAGGGGATGGGCAGCGCTTGAGTCAGAGCAGTCTCCTGTTAGCCTGTCCTTAGCGTCAGAACAGGCCACTCACTGCAGGAAGAGCTCTGCTGGCCTGTAAGTATGAACCCTGCCCTGCACCAGGCCTGGCTCCCCATTCTGCTCATGGTGCCTGGTACCTCAGGCATAGTGCCCTGGCCCTAGCCCAGCTGCATTTCACATCAGGACACCAAGCCAATAAAAGCTGTTTCTTTTTCATTACAAAACCCTTTATAGCCATTTCATGTCAATCGAAATCACAGAACTAGGCAGAAAGGCCCAGGCTACCAATACAAACAGTGCAGCGCTTCCCTGGGAGGCTGGGGACGGACATGGCACCATGGCCATGGTGGCTGCAGCTCAGCTGTCTTCGTCATCATCGGCAGACTCGGAGGCCAGCCGTACCCTCTCATGCTCCTGATGCTCACTCCCAGGCCTGGCAGGGTCAGAGCTGTCCCGAGGGCTGCTGGGGGCATAGCGAAGGTGGGTCAGGATGCAGTTACCTGGTGCTGCCAGAGGCCCACCGGGTGGGTGGCCAGCAAAGAAGCGTCATGCCCTCACTGGTAGCTCCTGTGCCTGGTGTGGCCTTCCTGACCTTCCCCAGGCCAACTGTAGCTCAGTCCAGTGGCTGGTGCTCATGGTGGCCACCAGGGCCACCTGGGGACAGTCAGCAGAAGCCACTCCCAGAGAACCAGCTGTTGGCAGCCTGGATGGCCTGATGTGGGCCATAGTGTGCTGACTGGCCCTAGCATGTGGTCGGGGTGGGTCACAGCGTGCAGGGAATGCCCCAGGGACACTCACTCGTGCAGCTCTTCCGAGGAGCACCCCCGTGGGCCATCGTCCAAGTCCTGCCCATCTTCCTGCGCTCTGTCTTCTGTGCTCTCCCCCTTCTGGGATGCGGCCTCCCCGTTCACGGGTGCTGAGAGATCTAGGGTGACAGGGTCATCCGAGCACAATGCTTACCTCTCCTTAGAACCTTCCTCGCCCAGCTGTGGTTAGGCTTACAAGCAGTGCACATGTAAGTGTTGTGTCCCACAGAGCACCGCCAACACCCAACTGCTGGCACCCAGTGGCGGGGGACACCCTATGTCAGCTGTCCTAGAATGCGGTTGGCTCTAGTAAGCTTGCTGGGGTGAACCTGGTGCAGTCCCCATCTGTCCCTCACCGGTGCTGGGCTCATCCTCCAGCAGCTCTCTGGGAGCCTGCTCCCCAGGCTGCTCCTCCGCCTTCTCGACACCAACCCGATCCTTCTCAGCTCCAGCCTTGTTCACCTTCTGGAGAGCCTCAACTTTTGGCCCCAGGACCCGAGACTTGAGTCGGGTGTAGACCTCTGCTGCCTTCGCCATCACATCCTTGTTGGCCTTGTACCGGCGAATCTGGCCAGCAGGAGGCCAAGCTTAGCAGGGCTAACGGTTGTGCCTCCAAGTCCTCCCGTTGGACACCAGCACCATCTTCAGGTGCTGTGCCCTAGTGCCCCAGGTCATACCTTCTTCAGTGTGGCTACCACGTCTGTGTTCTTCTGAAGGATTTGAGAGGTCACCTGCAGAGTCCCCAGCTCTTCCAGTGCAGTCAGACACCTCCTCACGTCCTGCAGGGCAGGAAGAGTGGGGAGGCAACTCTAGCTGTCTCCTAGGATGCTGCCGGCTGTCACCGGGGGAGATCGTAGGGAATGGGAGTGGGGGTGGAGTCTCCTGGTCCACTATGAAACCACTCCCCCAGCTGGGAGACCCTGCCTCAGTTTCCCAAGACTTCCAAGGAGCCTGAAAAGTGGTGGCTAGCAAAAGCACCCAACTCAGGGCAGCACGGGGTTGTGACCCTATGGCTGCACAGCAGGCGTCTTACGGGGTTGTCCACCTTCAGTGCAAACTTGATCTCGCTGTGCAGCTTCTGCAGTCTCTCCTCTACAGAAGGTTCTGGGCAGGAGAGATGCTGGTTTCAGCAGGGTGCTCTGGCCCGGGCTACAAGGTGGTCCAGCCCCTCCCACCACCATAGAGCCACCCCCACCACCATAGAGCCATGGAACACTGCACCATGTCAGTGCTCACCTTTCTTCTTCTCCCCTTTCCTGTCCAGCGAGAGGCCCTCTGACCGCTTTCGCGTCCGCTCTACCTTCATAGGCCTATGGAGAGGCTCCCATCAGACAAGCCAACCTGGGAGGCCCAAGGCGAGGACAGACAGCCAGGCCAGGTGCCTGGGGCCCTCCTCTGCTTTTGTGCACCAGGCTGACTATGAGGAGCCCAGTAAGCACACCACCCCTGTGCTGCGTGGCCACTGTGCCTCATTGCTGGTCCCCACGGGCAGCTGTGGTCAGCAACAGCTGGGACACTTAGCGGAGATGAGCTGCCCTCTCCACTTGCAGGCTCATAATTAAAGCCACCACACTGTTCCCTGGGTGCTGTGGACATTGGCTATGTGGGTCCTGGGCCCTGCAAGGTGCTGGGCAATGCTGCTGGCCTCCACCTACAACAGATCAGCAGCAGCTCCTAGTCTGACTGTCACACACGGCCCCAGGCAAGACTGTGGCCCTAAGAGCTGGAGCCCTCAGATGATGTGGCACCAAGGCTGAACTCAACAGTCAAGCAGAGGGGAGAGGGACTAGGTCCACAACTCACGACAGGCGCTAACCTGGCTCGTGGCTTCTCGTCTGGCCGCCCTCGCTTCTCCTTCTGCCCAGACTTCCTTGCAGACTCTGAGCCTGGCAGTTGAGACTTCTTAGCCAACTTCTTCCCCTACAGCAGCAGAGGACAGGGTTGCTGCTTCAGGAGCAGCCGGTCTCACCTCCACCCAGCACATGTGGGCTATGGCTTCCCTGGTCTTCCAGAGAGGTATGGAGTCCAGGATCCACGTAACAGGCAAGCTATACATTCCGACTAGCTGTCCCTAGCTTCTATGGTTGGGGCCGTATCTCCAAAACCCAGGATGAACCCCACGACCCATTAGGTGCTCAATAAAGAAGTGGGGCCCAGGGCCAGTGTCTGGGGCCTCAGGTGAAAAGGGGGTACCATGCACCTCTCTCCCAAGCTCCCCCTCCGGCTCTGAGTCAGAGGAGGACGGTGTGGCCCGGGCGCGGGCCTTGCGGCTGCGCTTCTTCACAGGCTCGTTGTCTTCCAGCTCTTCCCCGCTACTGCCCCCACGCTCTGCCCGCTCCTTGCGGCGCTCCTTCTCCTCCCTCTCCTGCTCTCGAAGTCGCCGGAGCTCCTCCTCCTGCTCCCGTCGCCTCCTTGCCTCCAGCTCCCGCCTCCGCTCTTCATCCCGCCTTTTCCACTCACTGATGCGGTCCACCTCACCGCTGTCACTGTCACTGGGATGGAGAGTTCATCAGCAGGGACTCCAGCACACCCTGCGGGCCCCCACATTCCCGGCCGACACCCACCTGTCACTGCTGGAGGTGGAAGGTGGCCTTTCTGGCTTTGGTCTCCGCCCTCGGGGCCTGGGAGGTGGCTTCTCAGCTGTGGAAAAGGAGGGGTGACCTTCTCTCCATGGCCTCCCAGGGCTGCATCGAGGCTGGCTCAGGCCTTACCTGGCTTTCTGCCTCGAGGGGTTTTTTTGACAGACACATCTGAGTCAGAGGAGGAGGATGAAGAGGACGAGGAGGATGGGGACGGCCGTGCTGCAGCTACAGGCTCCTCCTTGGCCCCATCTGAGTCAGCTTTAGAGTCTGAATCCGAGGCTGAAGGCACCTTCTGGGGACAGGCAGAGCCAGTGGGGGTGTTGCACAGGGTGAGGATGAGGGGCACAGGCAGCTGCAGTCCCCAAGGGACACCCTGGATGGCTCCTGGGGATGGGATCAGGGCCAAGCCCCGGGGGTTTCCAGGGCAGGTGTGCACTGAAAACCTGCACAGGGGCAGGCCTCCTTCCCTCCTACTGCCCAGTTCTCCCCAGCCCTCACACCCAGGACAACACGCACATGTCACAGACCCACAAACACACCTGCACATGCGTAAGCAACCTTATGAGCCCAAGTCCTTGTACCCCACACGTACACAGCACATATGACTTTTGATGCCACAACATTCCAGCACACAGGACCTAATTTTCCAATCTGGATAGTGGGGTCCCCTGGGAGGAGCAGCAGTGACCTATAGGACTCAGGGGCATCACTGCACACCTGGGTACCCAGACACCCCTGCCATAGAAGGCCCTCAGGACCTGGTACAGCACCCTCACCTTCTTCTTTCGCCCTCCTGGAGGACCCCGCCTTGGTGCCCGGGCCACTGTTTTCTTCTCCGGGGTGAAGTCCTGAGTGGGGACACAGAAGTGTCAGGGGTGCTAGCTGCCATGCCAGGGTGTCCTGGGGGCTGCTGTCCACTCACCTGGTCGCTGGTCTTTTCTGACTCAGATGGGCTCTCAGAATCCTCTTCCGAGGGGGACACACTGGCCTGATCCAGGTCACTGGAAGCTTTCCGAGCTCGTTTAGAGACTGACATCTGGAAGCCAGGGCCAGGCAGGGTCAGCAGCTGGACAGTCCTGGTTCTAGATAGGATCCTCCTATGTGCCATGGAGCGCCTAAATTCTGGGATGGTGATGTGAGCCATACACAGAGACACACACATCGCAGGCCCACTCCTAGAAGCTCCCTATCCCTTCAGTTATCAGAGCCAGAGAGAGGAAGTGTGTGTGTGTGTGTGTGTGTGTGTGTGTGGCCAGGCATGTGCTAGGGGATTGGGGATGGCAGTGTTTGATGGGGCAGTAACTTTCTGGAGACAGATGGTGAGTACTGTACCTCAGAATGTCTTATTTTATGTCATAAGTTCTGTTTCAAAAGGACAATCAATCTGTCTCTGTCTCTGTCTCTCTCTCTCTCTCACACACACACACACACACACACACACACACACACACACACACACACACACACACACACGGTGCAGGAGAGAGCAGGCCCTCAGCAGGACTGACAGGCGCACAGCAGGAACTGGGGAGGAGGCATTGCAGCGTACCGTGGCCAAGAGGTGTACTCTGACATTACCAACAGGAGTGACAGCTCAGCAGAAGAGACCCATCCCCTGCACCCATGTAAAAAAGCCCTCTGTGACTGGAGCAGCAGCTCATGGCTACAGCACCAGCTACTCTGATGCCCCAGTTTGGTCCCCAGCACCCACACATGAGGCTCACAACCATCTGTAATTCAGCGAGAGGGGATTTGACACCTCTGGTTTCCATAGGCACCTGCATGCACATGCACCCTCCCACAAGGCACAAATCACAGCCATGATGAAATTAGACT